AGAATTCTATAATAAGGTACATTCACCTAACATTAGAAGATAATTTACTGTCCCTTTAAAAACACCTGGAAAATTATAATTATTTTAGTAATACGTATGCAGATGATAGTTGTGTTTAATTACACATTGGGATTCCAATTAAGCCTTAATGGGTCACATTCATAGTTTCTTACTATTTTAAACAAAACAAAACAGAGTAAAAAAAGATAGTGAAATTAGTCCTAGCAATAATGGTATTCTAATACCTTCATTATTTTACACACAGGCAAAGCAAATCCATGCCTTAAAAGAAAGACAAAATTTAACACACTGCACTTCCGGGCTACACTGACTACCGCAAATATCAACAACACGATTCTAGCCCAAGTCCCAAACTTACCTACAAAGCACGTCTGCATCCAGCTGTCGAGGATGTCTGTGGTCTATGATGATGATATCATGATGTTTGTCCAGGAAGCAGGCAAGGGCAGCCTGAGGCTCCTTGGTTACTGAGCACATAAACCCTGCTTTTTCACATGCCCTATAGAATCCATTACACTGGCTATCTTCTTTGGTAAACACTAAAAGTACCTGGGATCAAAACAAGATGCTGTTACAATTATCAGTCTTCACAAGCCACAGAAAGTCTCAAGTGTTCTCAAAACAAGCACACATACACAAACAACAATTGCTCAGTATAAAGCCTTCTGCTGTACTTGGCCCAGGGACACTCTCATGTAGCACTCAGAAATGAATGCTATTTGCTAACTGCACTCAGCCTACAAGTCCAGAAGAGCAGAACTCACCCATGACTTAAAAGTGACCCTTCCTTAAGCACTTTGTCTGAAAATAAAACAAAAACACTTAACTATTTGTTTTAGTTAACGGCAAGTAAGTAGCACCACGTAAGAGGGAAAATTAAGGATTTCGATAAAATAATGCAATGTTATTAAATAATATATTTAAATATTTGAGTCATGGTTTTATGTAACTCCTCCAAGTAAGAACTTTTTTTTTAATGAGAAGAGAAATTTAGAGTTGACCAAACAATACATTGCAAAGCAGTTAAGTGACAGAAGATTAAGGCCAGCAGCAGGGAGCTCACCTCAGCTCTGCCAATGGCTATTGTCTGGGTGTCTGGCTCAGCTCAGGTGAGGCCTGGGGCACAGGTTAGACTACCTCTTTCCCAGCCAGGCCCATCCAACCACACTGGTGCAAGACCACCACTGTTCCACCCCTCCGAACTAGACTGAGGACAGGGGCAGTGTGAGCCAGGGTGAGACAAAGACTATAAATGAACAGCTCAATTCCTCTAAGGCAGCTGTTCTCAACCTGTGGGTCACGACCAACCCCTTTGGGGGTTGAATGACCATTTCACAGGGGTCACCTAAGACCATTGGAAAACACATAAATATTTCACAATATATAATTACATATTGTTTTATGATTAATCACTATGCTTTAATTATGTTTAATTTGTAACAATGAAAATACATCCTGCATATTAGATATTATATAACGATTCATAACTAGCAAAATTACAGTTATGAAATAGCAATGAAAATTATTTTATGGTTGGGGGTCACCACATGAGGAACTGTAATAAGGTTCGCTGCATTAGGAAGGTTGAGAACCACTGCTCTAAGGCTTAGTTCCTCCCACTTTATCCACTGCAAACATAACAGTGAGCGAAGAACTAAGACACATTTCTGCCAACCTTTTAAAAAACTCTAATCCTTAACATACATTCTATGTAGGAAGCACTAAATAATTGAGGGCTAAGTTAAATGACAATAACCAATTGAGGTTATTGTCTCGTATTTTGAACTAGAAAAATTATATGCATTTCCTCTACAAACGATAGTTGAATCATCAACATTAAGAAGACTAGGTGTTTTTACTTTTCACAGCAGAAAATTTGAAACTTACAGAAAAGTTGCAAATGACAATGAACACAAATACATCTTCTAGATTCACCAATTTGTTGATAGTTTGCTCCCATACCCCCCTCCCGCCCCCCGCCATTACAATTGTATGCTTTTTTTCTTTTCCTGAACTATTTTAAAGCAGATTGCAGGGATCTCTCATCGAATATATAAAATGTACATTCTTAAGAAAGGTGTAACTATGGTAATGTTATGAAGTTCAGGAAAATTAACAATGGTCTAATCCTAATATCTAAAATAGAAAACTACTTTCAATGTATAGCTTTAGGCCCTACTCCACCTCCTCTGTAAAGAAAATAAACCTGTAAAAATTATGGCATGGGTAATTGCACTTAAATATTACCTGAAGTTGATCTTGATGAAATCTCATAGGGCCAAACTGCACGTCAGCTACTGCTTCCTGTTAAGAAAAAGACTTGCTAAAAATAGATGAAAAATAGAAACTTGCTTACAATTTTTCTAGTGAGTGTCATAGATAAAAAGTGGTATATCTACTCACAAGAAAGACCACCTAAAGTGACTAGCGAACAGACAGTGAACTATGAAGAATCTGGGGAGCAGCTTCTGACAAAGTCCAGGAGCAGTAGAGGGCAGAGTGAGGGAAACTGTGTCTGATCTCCACTTGGCCTTCTAGCTGTGAGACTTTCAGTGACTCACCCGCCTGCAGCTTCAGTTTTATCATTTGTATAACAGAAATAATAATATTAAATTGCTGGTGGTGCAGTAGGTTAAGTGTTAGCCTGGTAGCCACAAGGTTGGTAGTTCAAACCCATGAGTCACTCTGAAGGAGAGAGACAAAGTCATCCACCCACTTCCATAAAGATTTACAGCCTTGGAAACTGTAAGGAGCAACTCTACTCGGTCCTACAGGGTTGTTATGAGTCAGAATCAACTTGATAGCAATGGGTTTGGTTCTTGGTTTTACAAAGATCAAATGAGATTACAATCCAAAGAGCCTCTTCAGATTTTTTCCTTTCATTCCTACTTCCATCTTTTCTATGATAAATGTTGAACTCTTGTACAGAAAATGACACGGGAGCAATAAAACCCAGTAGTCGATCATGAGATGTCAGAGCTTGATTGAGAAGCAATCAACCTTTTACATTTTATATGACCACACATCCACACCAGCTGCCACTGAGCCGACTCTGAATCATGGCTTCCCCTCATTAAGCACTGCGTGAAAAGCTATCTATATATGCTATCTTGTTAAATCCTCACGACAATCTTTTAAGAGTTTCCAGTTTTTGAATAAGACTCCATACCTTGCCTTAATACCACACAACCAGCAAGTAGTAGAGCTGGCATTCTAACGCAGGTCTGTTTTGCAATATAGCCTGTGCTGCAAACGCAGAGCCATAGATTTGGCAGTCTGAGTCGCACAAAAAGGAGCGAGGGGATGGAGAAGGTGGGGCTGAAATTCAGTCCCCAAGAGATGAACCCTGACACTGGGCTGCTACTCTGAGAAAAAACCCTTTACAATTTGCCCAGAGACAGCATCTGTATGCCCTACTCTATCCTGAGTCTCTAATGATTGTATGATTTTATATGTTAAAGAAGAGAACCATTCGATTCCCTACAAAATGCTTCCTACCTGGTTTCCATTTCCAAATGCCCCCCACAACAGTGATCTAGGAAAAACATATAGGCAAACTTGCTCTGTGATAGAGGAAACCCATATGTATTTTCAACTGTTAGAAGCTGATGCCTGCTAGTTATAGGGCACTGGCCTAGTTCCTGATTTGCTTTGTAATTACTTCATGATTTGCTCCTAAAATTCATGAGACTTGCTGCTAAGATCGAGCTCTGTAAATCTGAGCAAGAAGACTAGCCCAGAGCACCACCTATCCTCTGGGGTTGTGTACCTCATGTTGAGAGGCCCAGCTAGATGCCAAAGTCAGTATTTCTAAAAGAGATGGTGCAAAAAGGCAGCGAGAGTCTTAAAACGCAAAATTTGCACTGGAAGTCACAATTACACAGTGAGAAGGAAAGATACACTGAGAGAGGCCAATTTGAACAATCAGATTGCTTGTTCTTTTTTATTTTTTGTTAAATACTTTTATTGGGGGCTCTTACATCTCTTATCACAATCAATACATTCCTCCTTTGTGACAAGCACATTTGCATGTATGCTGCCATCATCATTTTCAAAGCAATTTCTTTCTACTTGAGCCTTGATACCAGCTCATTTTCTGCCCTCCCTCCCCCACCCGCCACCCCTCCCAAAACCCTTGATAAGTTATAGATCCTTATTTTCATATCTTAATAAGTTATAGATCCTTATTTTCATATCTTAATAAGTTATAGATCCTTATTTTCATGTCTTACATCGTCCTCTGTCCCCCTTCACCCATCTTTCTGCCGTTCATCCCCCTGGGAGGGGGAGGAGGTTTTATGTGAATAAAGTTTAAATCAAAGAAACTGCAATGGAACTGTTCATATGACAGAAAGTAGAAAGTAACAGAGAATCATTTTGCACTGATTTTCCACAGTGTGGGGGCAGTTCCCTAAGAGAAAGTAGAAAGACCATCACCAGGGAGAAGACCAAGTGGTGATTAGAGCACGCTTGGGCAGGCCCTTCACACGAGTTGAAGTCTTCGGTCTCTGATGGGAGACACAAAGGGACTCACTACAAAGGATCAAGTCAATAAAATATGAATAGGAAGAAATAGAAATATTATAAAAATGTATGATATAAGCTGATGCCAGGGGCTTAAGTGGAGAGCAAATGTTTTGAGAATGATGAGGGCAATGAATGTACAAATGTGCTGGACACAACTGATGCATGTATGGATTGTGACAAGAGTTGTATGAGCCCCTAATAAAATGATGATTTTTTAAAAATGTATGATGTACAAGGGGCTCAAGTAGAAAGAAAATGTTTTGAAAAGGATGATAGCAACATATGCACAAATATGCTTGACACAAGGGATGTATGGATTGTTGTAAGAGCTGTAAGATGATACAATTATTTTTAAAAAGAAGGAATATGATGATGGCAGCATCTATGCAAGTTTGCCTGATTTATAGATTATTATAATATCTGTAATAACCCCCAATAAAAAAAAATAAATGAAAAAACAACAAATTTTTTTCAATGTATGAGATGCTAGGTCACCAAAAAAACATAAAACATATTCTCCAAAATAAGAATTATAGTTTTTTATCTGCTAAAAAAATTCAGTGCTATTGTATCTGACCACAAGGCAATCAAACCAAACATTAAAAACATAGATTTAAACAATGATCAATAATTAACAACAGATTATCCTCCTTCAAAAAGAACTATTATCTTACACTGCGGAATCAAAGAGGAAAATGCAAGCCAATAGCTACAGATTACATGAAAAATAATAAAAGGAGGGATGATATCATATAATAAAACTTGTCAGACATTACTAAATTAGGCTCAGAGTAAAATTGTTTTTGTCACGAAAACAAAAAAGTAAATATACTAAGATTTCAAGTTATTATATCTAAGAGTTGATAGTACAAACTAAAGGAAATTAGTAGGAAGGCAATAAACGTTAAATATACATATTACTGCCTTTGGCATATTTGGTTCCAGGTTGAAGATTACGATAAAAGTTATGATGGCTCTGGGCACATTCATCACTCTTGGAAAAACAACGATACCAAAGTCAGTAAATCAGGTTTACTTTTATAGACAAAGGACAGCAAAACTTTATGGTCTCAACTTATCAAAATAGCTCCCTACTGGATTTATTGTACCAATAAAAGAAGCTACAGATTTCTTTTTAAAATACTTTTATTGGGGGCTCTTACGTCTTTTATCACAATCCATACATTCATCGATTGTATCAAGCACATTTGCACATATGCTTCCATCATCATTTTCTTTTTTTTTTT